GAAAATTCATACAACAATAAAATTCAATGAAAATTCACACAACAATAAATAACGGTAATTGAAATCATTAAATCCACTAAATTTCAATGTAATTTAATTTGATATCTGATAGAATAACCAATGAAAATTTATAATAAAAGTTATACCAATGAAGTATCCATTGAAATTTTCAGTGGAATAACATACCGTTGGATTTTCATTGCAATATAACATTTTTTATTCCTTCTTAAACATTAAAACTTTTATTATGTAATTTTTCTTGTTAATTAATTGTGTTTACAATTATTGTATAGAAAATATATTAGCAAGGAACCCAATTTGGAAAAGCATATTTATCACCTGTTAATAAAAAATATAGCTAGCAACATTATTTTTGTGTATTATTTTTGTCATCCCCAATTCTTGCACCCTGTTGTCTGCGGGAAGTTCCCGATTTCACATAAACTGGGCCCACATGTTCTTCACCCTCAACACTATTAAATGAAATTATAATATTGCCATTATAAAATCCTTTAACACTATTAGATTACAAAGTTGCCATTATAAAAATGATAAAATAAGGTTATTTTAGGAAAAACATATTTTTACAGATTCATTGGCTCTTTTATAATAGTATAGATATAGATATAGAATAGATGAAAGACGAGTCACACCTTAATTTGGCAAGCATAGCACCTACAATTCCATACCTATGATCCATATAAAGAATTGAATTTTATTTCAATTAGTGCAAAACATAAGTTTTTTTTTCAGGATTACGATAATCGGACTGGTCATTGAATAGATCAAATTATTGGTTCAATAGTTCTTAAAAATATATTTTAAATATTAAAAGTAATTTTATATAGTAAAACGACGGGCCAGTTTTTTACTAATTCGACCGGTCCTTTCGCAATTGATTTTTCCAAGAGAATTGGACTGGTGGGAACCGGTTCTCAGTCTAACGGGTCTGAATCTGAACTAATAATAATAATAATAATAATAATAATAATAATAATAATAATAATAATAATAATAATAATAATCAACAACAACACAACTATTTCATAAATAAAAGATTTTTAAAATTTGCTAAACCATAATTCAATGTTTGATGATGAATTAAAATAGTTGAATGTAAATCATGCTTTTGAAGGAATTCAAATGTAATCATGTTCCATTAACAAAGATTCTTAAAATGTGCTAACCACAATTCTATATGTTTGATGATGAACTAAAATGGTTGAATAGAAATCATGCTTTTGAAGGAATTTAAAAGTAATATGTTCAATATAATATATTAGTTTTTAAACGATATCCCATTACGAATGAATGAAAATAATTAGGTTCGAATCATAATTCGAATAGTAATATGTTTCAAAGAATTTTACATAATATTCCCATATAGTAATTTTTATTTGAATTCGATTTTTTATACAACGTTACAATTTCAAAGATAACTTTTTCGATAATTGAAATTATCAAAAAAAAAAAAAAATTATAGTATAATAATAATTTCAATAAAAATTATATATTCGACCCAAACATTAATTAAATTTTATAATTGTTTTATTTGTCTCATGGAGCCTGGTAACTAATGTCCCCTTGACATCAACGTCAAGTACCATGACACATAAAATTATAGAGCACCAAAAGTTGACATATAGATTCGAAAAGCTTTATTTTATATTGAGGGATAATAATAACTTGTCTTAATTTTAATGATTCTTAATTAATGATATCCATGTGGGATAATGACTAGTTTTGGATAAATTAGGCCTACAAAATGCTGTTTAAGCACTATTAATTGTCTTCTTTTGTTCAATCAACTCAAGTGGTAAGCAGTTTGATGTGCTTAAGCAATGTCTCGAGTTCGAGTCCTTGTGAATGCAGAAAATCATTGTTGGGAGACTCATCCACCATTGCCAAGTGTGAATGCAGAAAATCCTTATTGGGAGACTCACCCACCATTGCCAGGTGTGCGACCCGGATCGACCAACGGACTAGTTGGGGTAACGCTGCTAAAAAAAAAAATGTCTTTCTCTTGTTAATTTATTCCTACCTCTTGCCTTTTTATTTAAATAGAAAATCCAGCACCTCAATTAACCGGACAATAAATTAGCGAGGGCATCAATTTTTGTCACCTCAACATGATTAGCAATTATGGCTAAAAATATCATGAAATGTTTCAGTAATATAAAACCAAACATTAGATGAGAAAGTTTGCAATTGAGCTGAAATTCGCTATTTTATTCCCAGTTAAAAATGTTAAATAAAACGAGCCTCCCTTGATCTTTGTTTGGTTTGTTTGTCAAACGAGTTTGCAAGCTCGTGCCCGTTTAAAGCACTAACTAACGAGCCGAGTTCGGCGCATCAAGCTTCGAGAAAATGGGTTTATGTAACTTTTTTTATTATTATTATTTTTATGTTAGCTCGACGTTTTAAGAATCGAGTTAACCTAGACGTAACGACGTGCATCTCACAATTAGACTGTCTACCTCATCCTCCTAAATCCCCAGTGACTGTAAGTAAATTAACAAACAAGCAATCTGACGAGAGATATGACTCATAATGTATGAAAATCTGCCCAATTCAACCTAGACCCAACCTCCTTCACTGACCGCCGGAAGCTAAAAGAAAAGTGCTAAAAATCAAGCTGCCTGCTTTCAATGTTAGAACCATAATCATAAAATTAAATCAACCTCACCATTAAATGCCGGAATTAATACAGAATTAAATAAACGACTAAAGAAAGAAATCGATGGATTTCTTGATAATATAAATTTAATATATACAAAAATATGACTTTTGGTAATATAAATATGAATTTGTAATTATTAAGTATGGCAAATTGACACTTAATGTTATATCGGGGGTTTTGCTATGGAACCAATAGTTGGCTTCATAATGGAGCCAACCTTTTATAACAACAAATAAACCTACAATATTCTTTGATTACTTAAATAACATTAATATAATTTTATTAATATGATAGGTTTATTTATTGTATATAGAAAGTTGGCTCTACTATGGAGCCAACTGTTGGCTTCATAACAAAATCGGTTATATCGGATAATATATATGAGAATTTGTATAAAATAAAAAAATCATATGTCAAAAATTATTGGTCCCAATTCTTGAATTTCAGACCACTTATATTAACTCCCACTAGTCTATGACTAGTCTATCCATCACTTTTTGGGGTATTCAACTCTTTTGGAAAAAA